CAGTTGTAAAATAGGGATGTCAAACTCTATTTCATTGAGGGCCACATCAGGGTTGTGTTTGACCTTGGGGGCTAGGTGGGCGTGGTGAGGGAGGGTGTGGCCAGCTTGATCTCACTTATGTTGGTGGCCCAAGTGCTCCACCAGCAAAAATGGGCTCCCGAGCTCCGTTTTCAGCTGCAACAGCTTCCTGCAACCTCTGCCAGTGAAAATAGAACTCAGGATGGCCAGCCGCGACCTTCTTGAGCTCTGTTTTTGGCTGAAAGGTGAAGCCAGGTGAAGGATTTCCTGGCCAGAGCTGCCACCACCGGAGTTGGGACTGGGATTCAAGGTCACTTGCTTTAAGGATAGACAGCCTTTGATGTGATGAGATGGCAAAGGTGTCCACATAGATGGGGAGTAGCACCATGAGTGGTATGGTACAATCCATGGAAAATAACACCATTTGAACGAATTCTTCATGTCCTACGATCCGACCTGAGTCCGTCACTGGGACCAGAGTTATTGTCTTCTGAACTTTCAGACTCATTCTGGAGTCCATCTTCAGGGAACTTCTTTCTAGCAGAATGTGTATTGTTCTGTGTGTGGTCTGTGTGGCCACGGGAATTTAATGACTCCAAACTGATGACATGTTTGATTCTGCCCTCGAGAACAATGAACCCATGGAACAAAAGTTGCCTTCAGAAGTTCTGAGAGCTTCATCACTGGAAACTTTCAAGAAGAAATTGGACTGCATTCTGGCAGAAATGGTGTAGGATTTCCTGCTTGGGTGGACGGCTGGACTAGATGACCTACAAGGTCCCTTCCAACTCTGTTAATCTATCTAGCGTTAACTTCATCATTTGTGAATTGCTATAACTTAATCTGACCCAAAGGTCATTGAATTGGCTTGAGCTTGTGGCAGTTGTGGGAGCTTCATCACTGGAAGCTTTCAAGAAGAGACTGGACTGCCATCTGTCAAAAATGGTGTAGGGTCTGCTTGGGCGGGGTTTGGGCTAGATGACCTACAAGATCCCTTCCAACTCTGTTAATCTGTATCTGGTCACACACACTGCTAGACAGAAATTCCTTGAAGATGGGCTTCAGAATGAGTCTGAAAGCTCAGAAGACAAAAACTCTGTTCCCAGTGACTGACCCAGATCGGAATCTAGAACATTATCCTGGGGCACGTAGATTTTGTCTTCATTCATCGTTGTGTTCTTCTTGTATGTTGTATCAAATATCATTGAGCAGGCTTTGTGGTTTCCAATCACAGTTTTTTTCCCTTCCTTCTCAGCTGGATCCCATTCCAAATACTTCACCTATTGAAATCCAGATGTCTACTCTTCCTCCAGAGGAGTTTAGCATCCTGGAGGAAGAGAACAACACCTTTCCAAATGTACCTTCTGGGCCCCGGGCCCAGCCTCTCCTCACCATCCGCCAAGAAGAACCAGCTTTGAAGCAAGCGCCGACCAATGAAGGATAAATTGCCAAGATAGGTCAGACTTCTTACGGGATATCCCAGCCGCTATCATGTCTTTTGTGCCTGGTTGATGTCTCTTTAAGATGACACGTAAATCTCAGGTTGATGTAAAAGTTCTGGTTTCTGCATAATCGTGTATGCAGCCTTTGTTGGAATCTGTTATGAAGTTGATCTTTCTGACCTGCCTCAGGCTTGTAGCCCATATCTACGCATTTGGATCTCCATCTTCATTCTACAGCTACCAAGCTAGTGACTTCTCTCAGGAGTAGCTCACACACCACTGCGGAATCCTTGACACCACATGGGATCAGTACCCTTGCCCATCTTGGGGCTCACCTTCGCTGGCAGCTTTAGAATGATCCTTTCTGGATCTACCTTGGCGATCTCGTTGAACAAACCCACGATGAAGGACCTCCCAACTTGGATCCACAACTGGGAATGTCCAATGGAGCCACAGATACCATTTTTTGTTGTGTCCATTCATAATTCTCAGGATATATGTTTGTTTGTTTTTTCATGGATGAACTGCTTCAAAGGCAAAGTGAGCGTGGCAAAAAATAAAAATAAATGAAAATTAAAAAAAATTAAAAATTAAAAAAACACCACCCGGGGCCTGGAAAAGGGCTCTCGAAAGAAAGAAAAGACTTAGATGAACCCCCGAAGTAAATTCAGAACCTACCTCAAACCGGAATTGAATGTCTTTTGGGAAGAGGCAAACGTATCTTGTGTCTTCCTTTTTTGTCTTCAACGCAAGTAGTGTAGCACTTGGTCAGTACGTGTTTTGGTACTACCTCAGAAGTCACACTCCATGTCCACCATGATGGTCATTGGTTAATATTTCCTTCCAACCCCCCAACCCCCCTTCTTTAAAGTTACCCCTTGTTGTCATCCTTGTTCCAATGTAAAGCACTTCCAAAATCTTGAAAGCAATGTTCTACCTCAAAGACATTTTGTTTTTTAAAATAGAAGTATCGTTCCAGCCGATCTCCTCGCCTCTCCTTCCCTTCTTCCTGCTCGCTTCCAATATCCCAAGAAGACAGAAGAGCATTGTGAACTCATGTCGGATGTGATCACTGAGGACCAGTCCCCCTTAGTGTGATAAGCTTTACTTTTAGGCAAGTTGCTAGTTAACTTGTGTAGAGTTTTATTGTGTCGAGAATTGTTTTATATATCATGTCTTTTTTTTTTGGTCCAAACAAAGGAAACTCTAATGATTGTTAGAATTGTAGCAAAAGGCAGGCTGCCAATCACTTAAAAATAACTTCCACTATAAACGGGTTACTATGGAAGAACAGTTCGATGTTCAAGAAACATTGTTCAAAGCTGGTTTGCCACATGCATGTTAATGGGGTGCTTGCTGGTTTAAGGAAAATTGGTTTTTTTATTTTTTATAATGGAGGAGCTGAACTTTTATTTTTGCTTTGCACAAAGAAACCCTTGGATTTTCTGCAAAAAAACAAAACAAAACCTGAGCTAGGACCATCTTAAACAGTTAGGCTGGGTTGAAACAAAATGGTTAGCTTGGCTTTGGATTAGTAGCCAGCTCCTATAGAAGGGCGGCCTAGTGGTTACGATGCTGGGCTTGTCAACTGGAAGGTTGGCAGATCGAGATCTGAGTACCACATGACGGGTTGATCTCCTGTTCTTGCCTCAGCTCCTTCCCATCTAGCACTTCAAAAAGCATGCAAATGCAAGTAATAGCAGTAGACTTATATACCGCTTCATAGGCCTTTCAGGCCTCTCTAAGCGGTTTACAGATAAGTAGGTTAATAGGTACCACTTTGGTGGGAAGGTAACAGCATTCCATGTATATAATCATGCTAGCCACAGGACCATGGAAATGTCTTTGGACAACACTGTCTCCCTTCTCTACGAATGGAGATGAGACTCACCCCCTCGAGTTGGACACGATGGGTCAGGGTAAACCTTTAATTTTACCTTTTACCAGCTATTATGGTTGGCCAACCATGGCTTTGGCACATTGCGTGATCATCTCCAATACTAGTTAATGCAAGACAGTATTGTAAGCCAGGGCTCTCTGTGAGGCCAATGCTTCATAGTTCAGAGAACCTTCCTTCCAAGTTGTGTGTTTAAAGTTAGTGCATTGATCAAACCAGGGTTTGATGTGCGTCACGTGGCAGGCGATCTCTCCAGATCTCCCTTCAATCTCCGGATTGAAATCTTTTCATTGGAGATGAAAGGGAACAATCTTGGAATGTTGGGCTTATGTTCCATGCTGTCTTTCCATTCCTGCCCCCCCCCCAAAAAAATAATAGAAAGCTGTGAAATGTGCATATCCTATTTGGGTACAAAGGTCTCACTAACATAACCTCTGTACGGTGCATGTGTGCAAACCAGACATGATCAGCCTGTTTTAATAAGATGCCTCCAGCTGCCCCTCACAGTACTTGAAGCCACGGATGTGGTGTCCACTGTTTATTTCTTCCCGTTTCTTCTGCTAGTTGTTCTCTAGGTTGCTGGTGGCAGCACAGCTGGTAATAGACCACATGTTTAAAGCCTTAGCATGGCCTTTCCTAACCTGGTGACTTCCAGCTGTGTCAGGACTTCATTTCCCAGAATTCCTAGCTAGGTTGATTGGGAATGCTGGGAGCTGAAGTCCCAACCCATTAAGAGAAGGCCAGCTTGGGGGAAGGCTACCTTAGAATGTAGCATATTTTCTTTATAGAGTGACCTACCTCAGTTGAAGCAGTCAAAGTAGGCAATGCTATTCATAAGAAGAACCTCTCCAATAGGATTATTGGTGGGAGACTTTCAACATCTACCTATCTACCTACCTACCTACCTACCTACCTACCTACCTATCTACCTACCCCAACCCGTTGATGTAGGAAAAAGCACTTAACAGCATTTCAGTGAAAATTGAAATGGGACTCTTAAATTCAACTCCCCTTTCCTCTCCTAATGAATCCTGACACTGTATGGATGAAGTTCTTCCCCTCTAGAATAGCCACTTCATGGTCATGTCCTTCCTTTGTTTAATGTTGAATTCCTATAGCTATTTTTATATGCGGTAATTAAAAGGAAAATGTTTTTTAAACTCTGGGTCAAAAGAGAAACAGAAAGAAGTGACTGGGGATGGAGGAAAGAAGCAATGTCTAAAGAAACAGCCAGCTGCAGTATTAAGACTTCCAAGAAAGAAAGAAAAAGAAAGAAAGAAAGAAAGAAAGAAAGAAAGAAAGAAAGAAAGAAAGAAAGAAAGAAAGACTCAATTTTTCAGCCTGAAGATAATCTGTTGGCATTCCTGTCACTGTCACTCTCCTCATTATCGGATATTTTGTTGATTTCATGGTGCGCCTCTCCATTAAAACAGGAAGAAGAAATAAAATGTATCTGGAATGATATCCCTTGTTTCAAGAGGGCCATTCAAACCTTTCTGGCATCACGAGAAGACAGGTGACAATGATCCTGAATGGGTGATGACTGAAGAAAACTGGATTTATTTCAAATGTTTGTGGAGATTCTCAACCATCCAGGTCATAGTTGTTCCAAAAGTGTTTTTTTTTCCAAAGGTAGCTGAACTTGTTTTTTTCTTTGAAAACATTTTGCTTCTCACCCAAAAAGCTTCTGAAGTTAGAACCAAAGAAGCTCCTTGGAAGAGAAGGGAAACTTTTTCAAAGAAAAAAACAACCCAAGGAAGTTCCAGCTGCCTTTGGAAAAAGCGATGCATTTCGAACTTACATATAGTGATAAAAAAAAACCAGAAGGTCCCAGATTTGGGGCTTCTTTGGCATTTTATAAAGCCTTCACTGACTCTTGACCCAAGTAGTCACGAAAGAGTCTCTCTTATCAGAGAAAGTGGGGCAAAACTAGAATCTGGGGACGTTACAAAGGTTTGGTTTTAAGAGGGAGAACAGATACCTTAAATCAGTGATGGCTAACCTTTTTCTCCTCGCGTGCCGAAATCGTGCGCATGCCCCCTATTGTGCACATGTGCATGCCCACACCCACAATGCAATGCGCCCACCCGCTGCACATGCACGTGTGAGCCAAGGTGGCGCAGTGGTTAAATGCAGCACTGCAGGCTACTGCTAGATCAGCAGGTCAGCGGTTCAAATCTCACCGGCTCAGGGTTG